CAGTCACTAGACTAGAAATGCGTCCCGTAGTGAGATGCTATGGCTTTCTTCTTCATGTCCTCTGTTTATCAGAGAAGGAAGTTTAACGTTTCTACTCGAGATGATTAACTGCCAAAAGAAGCACATCAGCACCAGCGACATGCACCTGAACTTATTGAAAGCTGCCACCAGACCATAGAAATTCTTATTCGCTCCAGCAACAGCACTATTGTTTAAATCACTGTCATATAGGAATATGAAGGAATATAACATGAGTAGTTTTAAAGCCAAGAGAATAGATGAAAAGGACTTTTCAGGCTGAAGAAAGGCCTTTAAAGCCATTCAAGATTCTCCAACAAAATGAGGCAGAGATAAAAAGGGACTTTTACCACATGCGCATTGGGCTACATTTCCAAAGAGAAGTTGCAGAGATAAGAACTTTAATGTGTTGGCCTCTACCTTCTCTATACTACCCAGAGAACTGGAAGGAAAATGCATGTGGTTTATCAGAAGACAAGTTGTTCAGCACAAAAAAATCAAAACTCCCTTTATCCATTTCCATTTGGAACAAACTAATTGCCGTTATCTTAACTGTTTTCCCTTTAAGCACTTTATAATTTCAATTGCTGTAAATAAAATTATAGCAGCCTAATGTAACGTTGTCTTCTGATTTCTATTAGGATATTTCTTAAATTATGTATTACAATTATTTCCTTTGGCTTTTTGGCAATTCCTTAAATTACTCTTAGGAAAAAATCTTGTAACTCACCAAAAAAATAAAATTTCAGGGAAAAAAAAAAATCCTTATTTAAACATGAATAACCATGGCACTATCTATCCCTGCAGTCTAGATCCAGTCACACAAAACAAACAAGCAAAAAAACCCAAACCAAAACAATAATAACAAAAAGGATCTTTTACAATAATTTTCACCAAAAGGTATCCTCTATTTTATGTAAAATTTTCAAAATTAGAAATATTTTGAATATCTATTTCTAAATTCTCCAAAGTACTTTAATTTTATAGTGTAGGATAAAAATCAAACAATGCTACTGCTCATTCTGTGCATCTGTTAGCATCAAACTATTCACCAACAGCAGGGAATCTTACTTAGGGCATCTGATTATGACCACGTGATGTTTTGTAAAGTGAAATATTTTTCATCATAAAAGCAAATAGAGGTGATAGCTGGACTCATGAAGTGAATATTGGCACATGCTGACAATATTATGAAGCTTTATTTCTTTATCGCTTCATAATTTTTCTGTCAAATTTTCAATTATCTTATTTTTTCTGTCAAGACTTTCAGCTATAGTTCACATTGGTTTTTATTTTTCAGTCTTTGAATCATAGAAACTACTTGAAACATGGTGATCATGAAGAGACCATTCCGTTTACCTCTGAAGAGAAATTAACGTGCTCTTAAGAAAATTCTTTGCTTTAAGAGTAGGCTCAAAATTTTGTGACTAATAGCAAGTTAATACCATCACATGAAATTTGTAAAGGCCTGGCCACTCTGTTTTTGTTACTTGCTAGATATTTTGCTGAGAAATAAGAAAAAGTTCTGTGTCTGCTTTAGCAACAATTAATGTTTGAGAAAGTTGCATATTACCCTAGCAATTTGATGGCCTCAATATACAAGAAGAACAAGGCTTGTATGAGAAGCAACATGATTTATTAAACCAGATTATTTATCTAGTCAAAACAGACAAGTTTTCAGGAAGTTTTCTTTCTCAGAGGTTATTATTTGTATATTATCCTTAATTTTATCCTATAAGCAACAGGTAAATTTTTATGTGATCCTGAAAAATATAACTTTGAAAAATATACAGTCTTTGCAAGAGAATGGTTCTTGTGAAATTCTTTCTAGTGAATAGTATATAATGCATAGTATGTAAAAATCTGGTGATAAATAAGACATTGCTAACATACCCAGTATTAAAATTTACTTAGAGAAAGCTATATTTTATTTTTAGAGAGTGGAACACATATGAAAATTCCTATAAAAACTTTATTTCCATGAAACTTAACATACTACTAATTATAAATGCCTCCTAATATGAGAGAGATCAAAAGCTTTCCTTTCTCTTTCAATGAATTGTAGTGGAATTTTTGCAGAATTACTGCAGTCCTAGAAAAAACTGTGAATTTTTTTTCAGTGCTGTTACTAGAAGCAATTAAGCTGCCTATAATTAGACCTCATAGATTTTTTTCCAGGTTTATGAACATACGTTTCCATTGGTTTGAATGAGAGTCCTGCGCAACAGAAGTCTTTGAGATTGTTGATTTATCTCTAATATTATTTTAAATTTAGCAGACTTTTTGAATTGAATTGAATGACATGATATGATATTACATGATGTCACAGACAGCAAAACAATAAAAGTAAAGAGATGGTAAATCACTGAAAATCAGATTCATTGTGTATTCACTCTCTATGAGTAATGACACTTCTGTACTGGGGCAAAGCCTCTTCTCTATTCCATCGCTGAGAATAAAAGAAGCCTTTAAAAACAGCTTAGCTTAGATATCCATTAGTTAGCTAACACTAGAGTAGATTAATTCCACTGCAGCCTTTCTGTGCCTACACTTCCCTAAGAGAAGAGAAAATATCATTTTTTACTGCTTCAATATTTGTACAGATGAGAAGTGGACAGGTCTTATCTAAATATGGCACATTGCTCTTCTGGAAGCAAGGATGCATTTCAGGGAGCTTCAGGGAGCTAAGGTTTCTCACTCCATTCCCTCGAGGTGGTAATTAGTATCTGCTGGAATCCTGCATCTTTTCTTACTTCTCTGAGCTTCTACTCAAGGAGAAAAGACACAGATTCACCTTTCGTATATTTCTTTCTACAAACTCTTCTGCTCTCAAAACCCAACACTTCAGATCCTGAAACATAATCTGCTGCTTTATCGAAACTAAATACAATGTTGCTTAAAAGAATTTCCACAGAATTTTTTCCCCATTATCTTTATCTTTCTGGTTTTGTGGGGTTTGGTGTTCTATAACCATTTCCTTCTCTAAAAACTTGGTAAGATACACCTTCTTTATAGCAGGGAGGGTAGTCAGCTCTGTAGTTATTTCGTTTGCCTCCACGCTCACAATTTCTGTCCAGCATGTCTGCATTAGTTCTGCCTTAAATACTCTTCACAAAGATGTAGGTGATGACACAGTGTGCCCAGCAGAGGAAATTAGTACTGGGAATATTAAGCAGTGTAAGCAGGACTGGAGAGTGAGAACAGAGTCAGAAAGAGAAGCAAGGAAAAGGATATCCTGTTTTTCTGCTCTAACTATCAGAAGTATCTCTATCCTTTTATTTTGAATTGGTGCAACTGAAGCGTACTACTAGACAGAGTCAGACTGAAGTGCGATGATTTCAGTATAATGCAGACAGTCTTGTTGGCTATTTAAATTATTTTTTAATAATGAAAGGCAATAAAACCTGAAGTCTTCATATATTTTCTTTGTTGAAGACCAGTATAAATTATATGCCTTGGTCTGGATTATACTAACTTAAACAGAACCTTATGAGTTGTATTGTCAGAAGCCTGTACATGACACCTTTAATAACAGCATTCAGTGAGTGTAGCAAGCTTGGAATGTGGCTTTAATTCAGTACATTTGATAATTGACAAAGACACTGATATTGTACAGATTATATTGGCATGTGAAATTACCAGGAAAGGTAAACACATTCATAACTGAAAGCAAGCTATATAGAGTGATCTTTTTAAGAGAAAGAATAATCAATATTAAAAGTAATACTGCTCTGTCTCAATTGACAGATTTGAGTTATCAAAATTAATTACATAATACTGATTTCCTTCATTAGTCATAAAGTTGACAAGAAAATCAGAGCAACACTACACAGCTCTAACTTCACTAGCACAAATTTCAAAATAAATTTGCTCTGAAACTAAAGTTGGAAATTTCATAAATGTATGATAGTTCTTATGGTTTCACTGGTATCCTTTTTGCTTTTCAAAAGATTTAGTGAATGTTTCCTTCTCCTATTGATGAGGGAAAAATGGTTCCAACAACATTTCTTATCCCATTATCTTTCTCTTTTTAGGACTACTTAATATCAATATTTCAATATTCTAAAATACCATTAATAAACTACAATTGACTGCTTTTCTTTTACATGATTAATGATTTTTAATGTCAAAAGAGTAATATATTATTTCCTCATATTGTTCACCCCAAGTATGTTGGAGTTGTATGCAATTTAAAGTAAAATTTTTTAGAGGACTTGAGAAAAGTCCTTGGTTCTGGTCACAGTAATTCAGAATGATTCAGAAGATACAGTTGTTCACAATTTTGACTACTTTCTAGTCTACTATTTTAGTCTTAGGAATCAGAGTGGTAAGAGTCGATCTGACAATATGCAGTTGCTAAATTTTATTTCACTTGGTAAGTATATTTTTAGTCAATACTCTGCAGGAAAAACTCTGAGTGATACTTCTACAGATACAGTAGAATAAAAACTGTGTCTTTCTTGATTACAAAGCTCAATGAAATGTCAGACATTATGCTTGATCCTCCACAACCTTGTATATTTTTTGGTTTTCTGCATTATTCTGATTCACTAACATTTTTCAGTTTAAATAACCCTACTGGGCTGTTCAAAATCAGGATCTTTTTATGCATGGAGTGCTGAAAAGCCATTTGTGAGGAATCTCTGCAGTGAGCTCAAAATCAGTTCAACTTTCTAATTTCAGAGGAATGACAGTAAATGTTGTTAAATTTAAGTAGGCATGGAAATATAGGCAGAAAAATTCTCATTATGGAACAATGCACACACAGATATGTGCATTTTAGGAAACCAGTAGCAAACAAACAAAAATACTAAAGAGAGCAAAATTGCATAGAAGTAGCCTTGCACATATGTCTATTATACATTGTTTTCTGAGTATGCTACTCACGTCTTAATAAAGTTATTTTACTTTTGTGATCAACGTTACTTTAAGTCACTGTTGTTTGCCTCTAGGGGATATTACCAGGAGGAGACAGAACTCACAGTTCTAGCAGCAGTGCTGATATTTGATAAGCATTCTCAGGAGACGACATACAGTGCCAACTCTTCTGCATTCAATCCCTGTGACACAGGCACAATTACACCAACTTCAAGATGAGCAACACCTCACACATTATGTTAGCTAATATATTAATTTCTTTATTCTTAGACTGGATTAAGTCTTGTAGCTGCTGTAACTTTCAAATTGTACATTAAAAAATGTACCTTGGTTTCAGGTATCCTGTTTCAGTTATAAACCATGAGTCAACCAGAAAAGTCTTTAATCTTTAGGCCTTTTTGTTCCTATTTATGTATTCTCATTTTATGGGTATTAAACATATTAAATGTATAACTACATTTATAAAGTAACTGGTATGGTCATGTCCCCTGAAAAAATTAGATTAATTCTAGATTGTTTTCACTTCCTTTCTATTTTTATTCTGCCTCCTGCTTCTTGGCTTTTCCTCTGCATCTTGTTCCAGAGAGTTTGAAATTATTTGTCGTATTCACAGTACAGAAGACCTCTTCTGTGTTGCAATATTGTTTTCTCCTTTCTCCATTTAAAAGTATCAAAGATTACCACACAGAGTTGAAGGATGTCCCACTGAGACATTCACAACAGAAGAAATTCCCTAGAATCCAATAAATGAAAGATATTTTAAGTGTAGGTCAGTGAGACGTGACCACTGATGGTTATAGAAGTAGACATGAGTGGTAAGAGTTTTACCAAGCCAGACTCAGTGGGTGTATGGATAACTGGGCACATGTAAGTCTCTGAGTACTGTATGATTCAGCCTGCTCTTCCTGTCACCTACTTCATCTCACTATTTTGTTCTCCCCCCAGTGCTTAGTGTTTCTATTCAAAAAGGCTTCTTTCACCTTAGTGCTCCAGCAATGCCTTTTTAGTGCTCCAGCAATGCCTGTTTTCAGAATGGAGCACAAAAGCATTGACGGCTAAATTGCTTGCAGCTTTCAGAGCAGAGCTGAAGAGCTTCCTTAAGTCACAGTGCCTCCTTTCTTAACACCATCTCTCAGTATTTATTAGCATTTGGGGCACCTGAGCCATGTGCCCCTCTCCTAGCAGCAGCCCCTCTATTGCTAGTCCCTCTGCAGACATGCTGTCAGCAGCATCAGAGAGCATGCTGCTGATCAGATGGTCCTGTTGGTGTATAGATCCCACATTTGGTGTAGGGATTTCTCTCACCAGCTTTTACCTTTTTGAAAGTTTATTCTGACTTCTCTCCAAATCACAGGATCCTCTTTATTAAGTCTTTAAAACTTTTACTTTTTTTTTCTCAGTTTTTTTTTCTTTCAAAATTATAAAAAATAACTCCTGTAAAATGTGTCCTCACATGCAACCCAGTCCCTCCGTCTGAATTCACATGACTTCTCTGTCACTATTTGCAGACCTCTACAAACATCTCCTTATGTTTTTCAGCTGGTTTAAGGTTTCAAAATTTGATATAAAGTGAGGAAAATATATCCACTGTTTAAAAATCTTCAGTTTCAGTACAATGAAGATCTGTAAAATCTATTCTTTCATGTCACTAGTTAAGTTTGTCTTCCTCTCTTTACTGTAGCAGTTTCAATTCTTTTGTAGAAACATAAATCTCTCACATTTAAAAAATTGTTGTCTCTATTTATGCTTTCTCTATTTTTTCTTTCCTTTGGTCCCTTTCTGACTTTTTACTTCCCTTCTTTTTCCCATTTCAGTTCTCTCCCACTTTCTGGTTTATATCCTTTTAAAGGTTAAATTCTACCACAGAAGGATTCTTTCCTATTCTCCGCACCACAATGTGCAAAGTCTGTTCCTTTTTTATTGTTTGGTTGGAAACCTAGACTAAATGCAAGAAAATATACTGTTCTTCATTCCAGCACTAGAGAACCATTAACCTGAAAGGAGTGTACAGGCAAAAGAAACGAGACCACTTTGAAATAGCCAGTTCTGTCAGCATTTCATCTTGTTTTCTTCTTATACCTACATAATTCCTCCTTTTTAAAATACAGTTTATACCCATGCTTTGCTACACAGCACAATTATCACAGCACAATTTCCCATTTTCAAATTTTTGTTAAAAGAAGCTTTCATTTTGTATTATTCCTTTTTAATGAAAATTCATTTATGCTTATTGAATATCAGAGCAGATTCAGTAAAAAGAAAAAGGAAAAAGAAATTAATACAAAATGCATTAACATATGCTCAAAAGTCATGTTAAGACTCTGTCATCTATACTGAAGCCTTTATTATAGGCTTTTATCTCTTTTTACTTATTCAGAAATCCACAGCCTTGAAAAAGAGTTATTTAACTTTCTCAGTGGGTAGCTGATTTGAGAAGTGGGATATGTCAGCATTTTCTTTTGTTGTTTTCTCTCACCTAACAGAATATTTACTGGAAGTAGATGTTTGGTTTATGATAATCACATGGGATATAACTGCAGGTTGGCCAGGAGACCTCCTTGAAAAGTTATATCACAAAGGAATTTCATTTGCGCTTCTAACATACCTTGACCAAACATTATTGAAAATGTCATTTTTTTCTAGCCTTGCTAAAGCAAGAGACAGATGACATCATCATGTCATGTAGTCTGACCTTCTTTATACCACAGGTCAATAAGGTTCACACAAATATTTTGTAATATCTAAAGATTTATTTAAGCCAGATGTCTCATTCTCAGATTGCTGTAGGTAGAGATAACAACAGACCTAAGCACAACCAGTGGCTTTAGGCTTCTTCATGGCTGGAAAACTGTTGTGGTGAGATGATCCCAGCAGGCAAATCATATCGGATGCAACAATTATTCCTCCTTTGGTTCTTCATAAAATGCCTACCAAGCCTGTGAGAAAATGTTTATTTATACAAAATCGGCAGCCAGTGTTGGTCTGGGTAAGTGAACTCTGCATTGCGGAGATTCTCTGTGTTGCTGAGTTGACGTACAGTACTCATTATTTGCCTTGATTTTATATATAAACAAGAATTCCAGCAATTGCTTATTTGGTTTTTGTGCACTACTTTGACAGGTCAATTTAAAAAGTACTGACTGGACTGGAAGCACTGAGATTGGAGACAGAGATTGTCCTGGAGGCTGCTCAGGAGAGGAGGGAGCTGAAAGGTGTGATGGGCAGATCCATCAGCACCTGTATGGTAATAATAATAATAATGGCCAGTCTTCGCGAGCGAAGATTTGGGAAAGGTCATTAACCCTTCGAGCCTGCGCAATGGATTTTTTAGGTGAGACACAGCGTGCGTTGAACTGAGCCCACCCTTTAATCCTGAGGTTCATCTGCTGGGGCCAAGCAAGCTTGGACAGTGGCAGTGAGGTCCCCAGGACCTTAGCTACCTGTATGGTAGCTAAGGCTAAGACGCTCTGCAGAGACATTACGATCTCTGGAGAGACTAAGCCTATGTTGATGTTTGCCATACCATTCTCTAGTATCTCTCACACTGCATTCAACTGGCATGGAATAGCCCCTGTCTGCATTATGAGACTCTCTGACCCTCTGAAACAGGGTGACTGAGTCCTGTGCATCTTTCGGGAATGATCTTCATCCATGTTGGCTCTGGAAGCACACCCAGGGTTTTTCAGGGACGGCCTTGCTCAACACCTAGCACAGTCAGTGTCTGATCTAGAAGTTTGTCTGTGTAAATCACTGACTCACAGCGTTCAGGAGTGTTCCCTAGAGCTGTTTGATGTGTCTATGTAGGCTCAATCCCAGGGACCGGAAAGGGTGACAGAGTGAAAGAAATTCCCTAGATAGCAGTTTGCTGCCATGTGGGAGCTGCTGTGTGACTACCTAGAAGCAAGGACATGCACTGTGGTCTGGGATGGAGATGTTCAATAACATCTTCCAAGACATGAAGTTTAATAACTTTAATTTCCATTTTACCTTCCTTATTTTGAGCTTTTGTTATATAAAAAAGGTTCTGTTGCTCAGGTAAAAGAATTTAGCTTTTTATATTTAAAGGCCTTTAGACTTTCTCTAGAAACCACTGTAGGAGAGACACATCAAAGCCCAACTAGTCCCACAATCTCTATCACTTGAGAAAGACATGGAGAAAAAAATCAAGAGAAGTGCACAGGCCACATGTACATAGAAGGAAATAAGTTTCTTCCCAGTTCCAGAGAGAACCTAGTTGCATCCCAAAGGGGAAGATTTAAAAGTGTTTGCCTAACAATGCAGTTTCTTTTTCTTTTCCAGCAAAATAGATTAATTTTAGAAACAAAGTGCTGTAGGAAGATTTTTCCACTTGTGCGGGTAATCTGAGATTTCATTTCTACACCCTTCCTTGTTTGGAAAAAAGTTAGGAGAAATTTAGGGAGGATTTACCATCAAACAGAATGATTTGTGGCATATAGAGCAATCCCAATCCCATGTTCCATTCCTTGCACTAAAAGTAGTGCTTTACAAATGGCCGAATCATTTCCATTTGAGGGGCAGCACTTTGAAGCTTCTTTTTGAAAGGTTTGAAAAATAATGGGTTGTGCACTTCTGAATTGCTGTGCCCCACAGCTTCAAGTGACTCTGAAAAGAGAAACCCATATTATGATTTAAAAATTGTTTTGTATATCGTTGGTTGGAGTCCTAAAGCCTAGCTGTGAAATGTAGGGAATCAATAAGACTCCTTTTCCTGACAGGACAGACTTTAATTAGGCTGTTTTATAGCCAATTTGAAAGGTACAGGAAAATAAGTCTTAAAATGCCTTAAAACACTTTTCCTTGCATTTCAGGTAGGCTTTTCCCCCCTAATGTAAGCATCTAGGAAGAGAAAAGTTTTCTGAAGATAGAGTAAAATTTAAAGACCAGACCTTAAGAGGCCTGTCAAACTCACAGATCTGAACAAAAGTGTACCACATGATCTCATTTCATCTTTACTAAACAGACAATGTAGGCTGGCGTACGAGGTGTCTCAATAATCCTTCTTCTCTCAAAGCAAATGGTCAAATTCCCACAACAAAGAGCAAAAACATCACATTACATTTACTCTCCTTAGATTTTGAGTACTAGAAAGGCAGTGCTTTCCTTAGTTTATGAGAAATGCTGAGAGGGTTTTTGTTTCATACCATTGCTCACAGAACAG